TTTTTTATTAATATTTATAATCAAGGTATTTTCTAATCACATTTTATAAAATTTGAAACTAATTTTTTCTCAAACTATCTTAAAACTTGAACCATAAACCTAATTTACAAGACGACATTTATTTTCCAGTAAATTCAATCCCAAAAGTTTACAACAAATTTTTTACATGGGTTTAACTCAAATGATACATTTCCCGTGACTCCTAACGAACAAAAAAAAATTTGAACATTGAACAATTACATTTTCCCCCAGAAATTCTAATCACCAGACCTCCTAGACACCATGCCCTGTCCAAATAAATTCCCGTGTAAATATAATTACTTCCCCAAGAAATCAAGGGGAACCAGAAAAATATCAATTGGAATCCAGAAAACCCAGTTTTGTTGGTTTTTTCAAAGAACATGAAACTCGAGAAAAGGGGTTGCATACACTAGTCTTGTTTGCAATGCTTGATTTCAACCTGCAATGCGCATTTTGAAATAAAAATCTGCAACAAAGGAACAATACAACAAGGCATCTCTAGCTCCTCCTTTGGTAGTTATAAAGTTTGAAACATATTATTAACATACATAATTACCTTATAGTGCCTTTCTGCTTCAAGTTCTTGTTTCTTTGGCTCAACTGCTTGAGGTTCTTGTTGTTGATAAGAAATATATCTACGAGGGGCTAACTGAAGAACATGACAAAGCTGCCAAAAGATGTCTCTAACGAGGCTGTAGATGCTGCAAATCCAGTAATTTACTGCTTAATTAGCTTTGAGGGTTTGTGCTTCTTTTTTTTTAACCGTCAATGCATTCATGGACAACAGGAAAAGAAAGGATCTCAAATTGAAAACATTCGTACCTAAATCTATGGGGGCTGCAGGATGAAATGAATGCAACAAGACCATTTATAACATTTCGAAGTGACCGGAAGACCTGTATAACAAATCCAAAAATTCAGTTCCGAGGAGCAAATGAACTGGAATCAAATTGAAAAGGCATTTCATTATAAGAAGAAAGCAAGAAACACACCTTTGAGTTGAGATCATTCCAAAGGGAATGCCAATGCGAGATCGCTGATGACTCAGGCGTTACCTGATCAAGATATGTCAGTTGATTCATGCTAGTTGTAGAAACTGTAAAAACTCCTTTAAGCATCTGATAGAAACCAGAGAACAGAGAAGCTGCAGAATTTGCCAACAGAAGACAGCCTCGGATTGATACGAGGAAAAGTTCCCAAATGTTACTGAAGAGAGGAGAAATCAATGTGACTGGACACAAAAGAGTCACAATTAGATTCCAGTTGAGGTTAAACCTGAGACATTTCATGATTAATTAGACCTTTTTTGCATACCAAATATGGAGCTAAGCCTCACATGAAACATATATATCCCAGTGATGCTGAGTGTACTAATAAAGAAGACTACAGAAGTTGAATATCAGACATACCTAAGCTCAATATATATGAATAGAGAAGCGCAAACGGTGTGAATAGAATCTCAACAAAATCTAGAATCAAACAGAAAAAGGGCTCCACCATAACCCAAACGGTAAGGTAGAATTCCTCTACTTTTTCAGCAAAAAGGCTCCAAAGAAGAGTGAGAAGCTCTATAATCTCTTTGAGAGGCTGCATAAGGGGTCTTGTGAGCAGTAGCATTGGAAATTTTACAAATTGAAGTATCATTAGAAACCACTTGACAGCTTTCTCAAGATTCTGAAGGAACAAGATTGTTCCCAGATACCTCATTCTTGAGACCATATCCCAGGCCTCAATCCACTTGAAAAGGGGACCACAAAAGTGTGATGCAGCTGCTTTCAAAAGGGGCACATTCTTATAGAGATCATAGAACCCAATAACTACAGTGATGAGTGATATCAATACATAAAGGGTTCTCATCAATGGGCGCATCCAGTGACGATACATTTTACAGAACAGTGGATATGATTGAAGAAAAATAACCCAAGAGGGAAGGCCTTGTTCAAGCAAAGCAAGTAGCTTTATATCAGACATGATTATCTGCTTTAATTTAAATGGAAGATCCCTATCATTGAACCTGAATAACAGAAGAGTGTGCTTGTACTCCATAGGCTCAGCTCTCTTTGCATACATTGGCTCTACTACTCCACAACACATGATAGATTTGTCATCTGTGTCAAGAGAGCATTCTCTAACATCAAAAAAGACATCTTCTGAGAACAGCTCGGCCTGGGATGCATCACAGAACAGCAATTCTTTAGAACCAACAGTTATTCCCCGTGGAGAGCAAGAAGGAACTCTGTCATAAAGAATCATCAGATTTATCCCCAATGTTTGTGCTTCAGAGGGTGTGCCTGAGAACCATGATGAAATACAGCTCAATGCTTGGTCAACACCATTGAATTCCCATTTCCTCATAGATTTCACTTCTAAAGCAAGGGATGCATCTGTCTGTTGGCAATATATATACTATTCAAAAAAATAGTAGTATGAATGATAAATCATGAAATTTAAATTATTAAGAGTAAACAATTCTTTTTACAGAAAAATCAGAATCCAGTTAACATAAGGAAACAGCCTAAAATTGATCAAACATGTTTGATGATATCTTTATTTTACTTCATAAACTTAACCATCATTTGTAGGTTTCTGTGATCATAATATCCTCCATGACCTCTCCCAATAGTAGACCACATGCAGAACAATCAAATGCATAAACAAACAAACATCCTAGTTTCTTATGAGTATACTTATGTAAGGGAAACATGTGGGATTACCTGAAGCACATTCAAATAGTTAATACCATGAACATCAGTCCATGCAACTTCGAAGACAATAAAGCCATGCAAGGCTTTACACAAACTCATTAAGGAGAATGGAGCATTTTCCTTCAAAGTAGCCATGCTAATGATGGGAAGCCACCAGCATAGATTCTTCTTTTCATAGCTGGAGAATCGGTGTCTTACACTTGGACTCCTGACTAACGTTCTGTTGTTTCTAAAAGGTGACATTCTGTACTGCAGACAACCAGACAATAAATAAGTCTAAATTTAATCATTTGAAATGTCATATTTAATAGTTGATACAGACTATCTATAAGTTTAACCTTGGTGCTCATTAATTCCCTTAAATGGGTTGATCTAGAGTGCTTCTTCATCCTCCATGATTGATTGTCAACTAGGATGAGAATCTTATGACTAACAGGGGTAAAAAACAGGAATGTCTGTGAAAGATAAGATTTTATATTCCTGCAGTCGAAAGAAAAATACAATCAAGTGAATCAAGAACTAAAATCATCGTAATGGTCATAACTTATATACAGGCCATCTTATATCTCAATGTCATACAACTTCTCTTAACCATTGAAGCTAAAACATACTTTAACATGGATATATAAGTTTTGCAAAAGTCTCACAAAATGAAAAAATTTGTAGAAGCAAAAACTTAGTGAAATATGGACAACAAAATACAACTTCTATACATTTACAAAGACTACCCATCATTTGAATGTGATCAAAAGAGCACCATGCTGCAGTTCTTATCAAGTCATCAGGTTATTTGGTGAGGGCTTGAATGAATCTCATCATGAAGTTGATTGGACCTTGGTACCCTTTTAAGTATATCTCCACCTAATTTGCTAAGCATGGTGGCTAAGTAATTTTATTCCCTAGAGTGGAACAGACAGTGACAATTTCTGCCCAATTATTTCTAGTTAGTTTCCTTGCAAAATTACAAGTACTACCTGCCTTTGCATCAGTAAACTTTGAGTCATAGCAACTTAGCAATAAGAAAAATGCAAACTTAAGTACCAACTATTGTGTGCTTCCTGGCAAATGATATATTCTCCACCAGAGGATGACATAATTTCTACTCAAATTCTCCTTCAAATTTCCAATTAAGATATATTCCTATTGATTATATTCCTATTGGAAAATGGAGAATCCCATTTTGAAAAAGTGATGTTCCAAATTCCAATGTTCCTATAGAGGATTGCCCATTGTTTTATCTCACATTTACCAAAACCCAAGTTCTTTGGTAAAAGAAATTTCTTTATTCCATGTTCATGACTAAGCAATTTTTGTTATTATGCTTCATGCAAAACAGATTCATGGAGCTAGAAACATCCATTTGATATCAAAGAGTCATAACTCTTACCCAATTTGCAAACTTTTCAATGGATAAATGTCAGGAAAAGACTCCATTTGTCATAATCTGCTCTATCTCTTCCGAAAACGTCTTCTGCCTTGTAGTTCCTTCAAAGAAATCCCATATTATGAAACCCGAAATGGGAAAATTTTCCTGGAAAACAAACAAACAAAATGTTTGCTGTAAACAACAATAGACAACATTACAATCATCAACCATAGTTGAAATCTTCCAAAATAAAAACTGAAACACTAGAAATTAAAACATATTTGCCTTTGGATGAAGTCCTAGGAGAGAAGGGACGAACAAGAGATAAATGGAACTCCAACGGAAAACCACAGTTGACATTGATTCCATGGAAGAAAAAGAGAGGTAAAGGAGCTCCGGGGTTTTGGGCGTACAAACAGAGATAACAGGAGAGACAATATAGGGTTTTCCTCCCCCTTTTGGCGGGAAATTGCTATTCATGGCTCACTGTACTTCCCCTTCAATCCCCCTGACTTCCCGATCCCATTTTCCATAATTGTTAGTTTTAAAAAGGGAGAAATCTGATACAAACATCGCAACAGGTAGAATTCTGTTTGCAGTTAAAATCGGACGAAGATGGTTTGATAGAAACGTGAGGGCTATTTGATATAGGGTGGTGATAAAAGGAAAATCTTTTTATATTATTTTTTTACACAATTTTTACATATAATTAATTAAGTGAATGCGTTTAATATTATGAATCTCACATAAATAAAAAAATTAATTATTTAAATAACATATCATATTATAACAAAAACTAATATAAAAAAATTTCCAAAAATCATTTCCCTTTGATATAGTAATTTAAAATAGAGTAATTTAAAACTAGAGATAATGATTTTATCTATTTTGTTTGGTTTGTAATTATTATTTTCAATAATTTAAATATTTTTATTTATTAAATTAAATAAAATTATTAACCGATAATTTTAAATTAATTAGTAATTTTAAATTGTTATATCAAATAGTTTTTAAAAATTTATTTTCCGGAGTTAGCAAACTTTTTTCTATACAGTAATTCATTTAAAATTTTTAATTTATGTTAAATAACTTTTTATATATTTTTTAATTATAATTAATATTTTATATTTTTTATAGTAAAATTTCAAAAAAAAAA